TAACGTAACGTAACGTAACGTAACGTAACGTACGTAACGTACGTAACTACGTACTACGTACTACGTACTACTACGTACTACTACTCTACTCTACTCTCTCTCTCTCTCTCTCTCTCTCTCTCTCTCTCTCTCTCTCTCTCTCTCTCTCTCTCTCTCTCTCTCTCTCTCTCTCTCTCTCTCTGTATCATTGTTACCCCATAATGTTTAACGTTGTCATGAATATTTTACAGTCTCTGAGACTTTATCCACAACCACCAGTGCTGATAAGACGTTCTCTTGAGAATGATGTACTTGGGAAGTACCCTATAAAAAGGTCAATTTCATTCCGTCTTTTTGTCCCTTTCTTTTAAACCTTAGATTCTCTTTTAGCATAATAGATTTACTTTAGTATATTGTCAATGAAAATATTCTTGTCCTAATTCATAAAAAAATAGTATTTGCAAACTCAATTTATATGTTTATTGTTTCCGATTCAACTGTTCTCACTGCATTATATATTTAACTCAGTCCTATATATGGTTAATTAGTCTCTCCAAAACAAGTGCTTTGACCTTATTACCATGTCATGTGTGTAATAATTGCTATTTTTGGGAAATGATCCATTGTATAATGTCTGGAAAAGGTGGCGATGATTCATGACGGACTTGTTTTTTACATAATTGAGTGATATAATGCTGACAAGTATAATGATGGATAGATGTTTCACTGATTCTGACATTCTCAGAACTCTCTGAAGGTCTTTTAAGCTGATTAATTGTATACCTTGGCAAGCTAGTCTCATCAAATGGCATCAAGTTGATTGCTTTGCATCATAAATAACTAGGAAAATGATGCTCATAAATCTTCTACCCTCTCAAAAGAGCTGAAACCTTTGTATTTGTGCCCTCAACTGCCTAGATTAGATCAACGTCGTACATACATATACATCAACCTGACAAGATTTGAGATATTACAATTTACACATTACCATCCTTTCATCAAGAAGACCTGTGCAAAACCTGGGGGACAATGTAATTTCATCTTTTTGAGGATTCTGTTTTTGCGAGTCAATGCCAAATTTTATGCAATGACCCATCTCTTTTAATGTTTTGTGAAACTTCTTATCATAAACAAGATGTCTTAAGTTAAATTCATCAAACAGTAGAAGTTCATCAGATACTGGCAGCATAGATTGCTTTTTCTCAGTGTTATTTAACATAGAGATCCCAATTTGCATGGTTTTCCACTTTTGAAGATGGTGATCACTCTATCAACCTCTTCCCATCTCTATTTCTTTATTTTCATTAAACAACCCTTTTTATTAATCAGGGTCACATGTACAACTTGCCATGAGTAGATGACAAAATTTGGTGTTTGTGTGAGATTTGTACAAAAATGTGAGGTAACAAACAGTGCTCCTTAGGAGGATGGTCCAGTATAAGGAGTTCTGATCTGGAAGCCCCTTTTTTGGCTAGGGAATCGAGACGAGCATTTACCTCTCTCTTTGACTGCCTGAGTGAAACTTGTAAGGACCCACATATTAAAAATCTAGTCGAAAATGTTTCCATTCTCCAAGGACAGAGAGGATTTGTTAGCCCTGTTTATGACATTTTGAAGGTTGCCTTTAATCAAATAAGCTCGAGCCCCAAACTCTAACATGTTGAGTCCTGGGCCTCCTCGACAGTTGCATCCATCACAGCTATTTGGCCTGAGCAGGTCATGAGCTTTCTGCCTGAATGATTTCTGAAAATGCCCCAAATGCCCTTCTCCATATCTATGATCAGAGTGTCATTTTACTCAGACATGTTAAACTGCTTGTACTCTCCATTTATCAAAGACTGTTTCTCAACCTTCTTAATGCTGCTTACCTGGGTAATGAGTCATCATGGGAAAGGATATACCGATTGCAACAAAGATAGGTATTAGCGGTTGTGCAGTCTCTTCTGTTGCAAAAATGTAATATTCAACAGTGAAACCCTATTTTTTACAACAGTTTCCTGATCTGCTTTGCTGAAAAACTTTATTGCCAATACGTCTTTCTTTCCTATGTCCATTATAATTCTAACATGCATATATACATTGACGTTCAAACGTCGAGCACAGTTGGAAGCTTTATGAGACGGAGCAGAATCCTGCTTCATTCTTCCCAAGTCCATCTTTCCCAAGTTGCACAGAAATTGAAATGGACAAATATGCACATTCTCACCTCTGTACGCATTGTGCTCATCATTTTTTCTGCTCATTTGAGAGTCATCTATGAGATGACAAAATTAATTTTTCACGTGGTTCATGATTTTCCATGCACTTGTACAGAGCACTGAATCGAAACTTGGCACTTCTGTATCAGACTTGTTCAAGTTCCTTGGAAACTAGCCAAACCCAGGGAAACTGGCTGCCGGCTCCCAATATTTTGTTTTTTATTTTGTGGGACTTGGCCAAGTTTCTGACAGACTCTGCCAAGTCTGAGTTTCCTGACTTGGGCTCAGGACTCTGGCAAGTCCCAACCCAAGTCCTTATTTTAAACAACTGGTTGGGAGCATTAACCATTTATTTAGAATTTTAGATAACTATTGTAGAGTAGGATGGTCAAATGTACTTTCTTTGTTTTAATTGTTGATTGAGGTCTTTATTCTTTGCTATTTCTGTTCCTTTTGCAAAGTATTTATTTATTGTTTTCACTTTTCCAATCATGGAAATCATGCCTTCATTTTTGCATCAGGGGAGAAGATATCTTCATTTCTACTTGGAACTTACATCGGAGTCCTGAGCACTGGGTGGAACCTGAGAAATTCAACCCTGAAAGGTGGCCCATTGATGGACATAATCCAAACGAAATAAATCAAAACTACAGGTTTGTCGATTTGGAGTAATCCTTTTGAGCAATTTGAAGCTTTTTTATTGCATCTCTGATCATTCCAATTTTGTGAATATACAAGAAAATTTGGCAAGTGAAGTAACCTTGTGTACCCCTTGCTGGGATCTATAATCTACAAGGGTATTTTGTGGTCAGAACTTTTGAGCAGGATATTCTAGCTAGCAAAAACATTTGTTGCTATGAGAAGTGGCGTTCAAAATTGCGTTCTTTGTTTCAGTTATTTACCTTTCGGAGGAGGACCCCGTAAGTGTGTTGGGGACATGTTTGCAACATTCGAGGTAAAAGCTGATATATCTTTTATTGGAATAAAGGTTATATATCTTACATGAGGAACGTATAATGATACCTAGGAGTCCATAATACATTTATTTGCTGGCAAACAGAAAAACACCATTCTTGAGATTTCTTTTCAGGACTCAAAATTGTTAAATCCTGAAAATTTTCTCAGCAAGCTTGCCAGAGATTGTAAGAAAAATTATCTTTCAGCGGAGCTCCCCTCTCTCTCTCTCTCTCTCTCTCCCTCAGGCCAAAGATTTCCTCTTATTTCAATTTATCCAAAATTTTGAAGTGTTACTTGAGGCATTTCAAGTCTCTATTAATGCCAAACCTGTATTTTGCAGACTGTGGTGGCATTGGCCATGCTTGTAGGGCGTTTCAACTTTGAAATGGCAATTGGAGCAGAACCAGTAAATCCTCCACTTCCTTCTCTCTCTTATACTTGTTTAATGGACCAGTCAGAGAGAGGAAATCAAAGAAACCACTATATTTTTCTATTTTTTATTAATGGAATTACTATTCTGGTTTTGCAGGTGGGAATGACAACTGGGGCCACTATCCACACAACCGAAGGATTAAAAATGACAGTGACCCATAGAATCAAGGCCCCTGTAATTCCTTCTTTTGAGAACCAGATTCTTGCAGTGAATGGAAACAATACTTATACAAATGCATCATCATCATCACCTGGAATATCAGAAGTGGGCCAAGAGAGTAGCCAACAAGATGAGGTTTCCACCGCTTGTACCTGAATACCTTTGGTTCTATTTGGATGGGAGTATCAATCATGTTATTGAAGCGAAGATGGGTGTAATTTAAGCCACAAAAATACAAATGGTTGTAATTTGGGAAGGGAGGTTCTTGGTGCTCCATCAACACATAGGCAATGTTCACTTGGCCCCATGCCTCTTTAAAAAGAAGAGCTGAGCACTAAATGTGTTTATATGATGTTGAGCTTTTGCTTGATGTTCATTTTGTGTAATGATTAATTTACTGAGGCAAGGAGTTCTTTTAAAAAGAGAAAAGTATTCTTTTGTTGTTACATGGGGACATGGCATTTGCTTATTAATATCAGGTTTTGGATGGTGATACTCGCAAAATTTGATCTTTGAAATGAAATGATAGCCACAAATTGGAAACAGAACAGAATTCTGCATTCTAATTTCAGACAGTATCATACCCAAGATTTGGCTGTTGGAATAGTGTAACAAAGTGTCTCTCCTGAGCGTGGCAATTTTACATTGCTCAAATGATACGTTATTATGGCATTGTGGTGTTCATATTTCCTTTTTTCCGTTGAATGTCAACTTGTTTCTTTCATTCACTATCATATAGAGTTTGAAATTGTTTACAGCCTTAGCAGCCCTACACTACTTACATTAGGGAAAAGTTTATATAAGGTTGAGGCCCTAACCAATCAATCTAAGGCACGCCTCAAAAATTCTCTAGAATAAGTTATTTCAATGTTGAAAAACCCTCAAATCTGATCATCTATATGGACATAAAAAAAAGGTGAACTTCAAATTTTGGAAATGGTCCATCTTTTGATGCATTATTCAACCTACCTTATGGAAGTAGGTTTCTTGTGATGCATTATGCATTAGGACATTGAGCCAACATGAAACCTACTTCCATAAGGTATATTTTTATATAATGTAGTCATAGTCATTGTCAATCATTAGATGAGAATTGGATAGCTATGGGTACGCCATTGATTTAGCACAAAGTCCAAAATAAATTTTTTTGATTTATGTGATACATTTTAAGATGTCAGATTTCACATCTGATGGCTAAAGATAAGTATAATCTCTTTCTACAAAAAATGGATATTTTTATAGAATATAATCTCAGCTTTTTATGAATAGCGCTATAGCTTATGAAGAGATCTTAGTCCATGGGGTCATCAATACATGAGAGAGAGAGATCCACCAAAAGGAACATAATAGGCTCTCTCCATCCATATTCATTGAGACAATGATTACCCAATAGATTTTGACTTGGTACATAATACTGGATTATATAATAATTCCTATGGTAAACCATAGGCCCATGTATCGTGGATATTTGTGGTGTTTGTTGACACACTAATAGCATGACACTTGTCATTGACACTCTAGAAAATTACTTCATGTTAACCTTTCTTATTGACATCTCACATATGCATGCAGCATTTAAATGGTAGACAAAATGCTAAATCCCCCTTTATCTAAAGGAAAAGGTGTTTATGCTTCACATTTGTGTTCCCCAAGGCATCACACACCAATAGATTTTGACTTTGTACATAATACTAGATTATATAGCAATTCTCGTTGTAGACCATAGGCCTGTGTAACGTGGATATTCATGTCAATATTTTTGGCACTTGTTGACACACTAAAAGCATGACATTTGTTTCTGACATTTTAGAAAATCACTTCATGTTAACTTTTTTTATTGACATGTCACACAAGCAACATTTAAATGCTACCCAAAATCCTAAATCCCCCTTTATCTAAAGGAAAAATTGTTTATGCATCAGGGGATGCATAACTACATTCGTGTTTCCCGAGGCCTCGCATATGTATCGTAAAGATAGTTGTGGAGATGTGGTCTCTACAAAAAAAAAAAAAAAAAAGGAACAAAACAATAGTTCAAAAAATATCCTTTTTTAATTTCTAGAATTTATTTATTTTTACTTTTTAATGTTCTCTATGTTTGAGACTATAAATACCTTAAAGACTAGGTCCAAAATCCATTTAAAAAATGAACCATGGAGACGGATGCATATCTATATATGAGTCCTAGGACTCATAAAAATGGTGTCCTTATCTAAATGCAATGTCAGTTCAGCGTTACTTGAACTCGTATTCGTATCACATACTGACACATGTATTCGTGCCTTTAACATAGCAATGCACTCGTGTTTAGGTTCAAAAAGACAAAAGTGGACACACACAATTTTGGAGGAAACGATGCTAAAATGCGAAGTCACACGAATAAGGAATTGTCTTATAGCATGTTTGATAACTAGAAGTTCCAGTTTACAATAGCACTTCCTTGTTTGATAACAATTATAATAAGAAAATGGCTTTAGGAAGTTCTAGGTTCTCAAAACATGAGAACCTATAGCTTTCATGCACCCATGGCAGTTCACATGTCTTTTTCTAAGTAAGTTTGCTTTTTACCTTCTTTTTAGCTTGTGTCTTAGATCTCTCTATCTGATCCCTTGTTCTCTCTTACCATGACCTTTTTTTCTCTAAATTCTCTCTAGCCATGCAATTCCTATCTCTATTACCTCTCTCTCTAACTGTGCCCTTACAAAGTTGTGGTCTCTAATACCCCTCTCTCTAACTATGCCATTACACAGTTATTGTTGTTGTAGCTTATGTGTAATAATCGGAAGCCTAAAGAAAAATTATTTATATTAGTGGGATTACGTACGTTGCACATAAAAATTAAATACATGATCACATAAATATACTAAGCATTCAAGAATTAGTTTTATAAATAAGCAATATGATAGTATATTGTTGTGCACTAAGCAACTACATAAATAATCATGTGATCATTCAATGGGATAGGTGCATAATCTATGCAACAAAATAACATATGATAATGGGTGCGGTTTCTATAAGGTTGCACCCTTAAACATAACCTTAAAATTTTATTATAATATATAATTTTGTTGTAAAAAATACTTAATATTATCCTTAAATCTATTTTCATACCTAATTAGAAAATTTTAAATTTTAAAAATGGTTAAAATCAAATAGATCTATAAATATATGAAAATCTTGAAAATCGACGGTCTAGATAATGTGTTGCAAGATGCACTATTCTTGGGACTCAAAAACTTTTTTTTTTCATATTCATGCATCTCGATATCGAGATGATCGATTAGAGGGTTTTTTCAACATTAAAACAACATTTCTGATAGATTTTTGAGGTGCTGATTCTACATTTCAAGGTTGCAACCGTCTATAAACGTTTCCCTATAATAATTACACGAATATAATAATATAAAAATTGTATTAAAATATTTGTCATATAAATTAACATTAATAAAACACTTTAATTTATAAAAAACATATGTTAAAAATCTTGATTATAATTACGAACAGGAAATTACAAAATATAAAGACAAAAACATATACATACAACCAAAGGGATTGTATACAGTGAGACCATTTACTTTTGTTACAAGAGGTCATAATTATTTATAGCCATCCGATGTAAAATCTAATAGTTTGATGTGTCATAAAAGTTTGAGAAAATTTCTTTTGAACTTTGAGCTTGGACAATGAAATAAATTCAGCCACCCAATTTCACATTCAATGGTCACGATTAATTGTGACCGCCATGTACCAAGGTAAATGGTCTCATCATATACTTTCCCGCAACAAAATTGTACCAAATCCAAAACTTTCTTATGAGGCACACTCTCTCTCTAGCTGTCTCTCTCTTTATATATTTTTTGGGTGTTTCGGTCTCTATATTTAGTAAATTTATGTGCGTTGCACGTAAAAATATAGTGTAGAACAAAAAGAACAAAATAATATTAAAAATGATAAAATATATGCAAAATAAATAATTAAATAGTCAAAAAGCATGTAAGAACAGTGATGACATAACGATTCCCCCCCCCCCCCCCCGCCCCCAAATATTATTTTATTAATTGTAGAAAATTTTTCGTGAAGAATTAAAGAATTCATTAAGAAACTTGAAGATCAATCATAAAGTAGTCTAGCAACATAGAAATTTTCTGGTAAATTTTACTTTAAGTTCTATATTATAACATTGCTTTTAAAACGAAAATTTAGTAATAAATGAAATTCAAAAGCAATAAAAAAACTGTATTTTAAAAATATAAAAGATGTTAAATCTGGTTTTAAAATTCAATATTTTAAAATACCAGTTCTATAGGAGATTGAAAAAAGATATGCCAAAACTTCGATTATAAAAATAAGAAAATAAATGTTTCATGACTGTCTAGCATTAATACTAATTAATTCATATATTACGGAGAGATTATTAAAAAATAATATCAAATAATTACATAGGGAATGAAGCACCCGCACAATTCTTTGAAAACCAATTAGATAGCATAAAAAAAAATTATAAAAAAATACATTGAATAACATTAAAATAATAATAATAATAACTATCCAAATTTCAATAGAAAGACAAAAAAAATCAACATGAAAAAAAGAAAAATTGCTATTGCAATAAATATGCATGGAGATGAAATTACGAAAAGCAAGGTAGCGATCTTGCCTCTTAATCCCCTTGTTTTTTGAACTCCATAGGGGGTGTAATTACACGGCTTTTCTCATTTGGAATGAAAGATTCTCTAATGAGAGCACATAGAATGTGATAATGTCAATACAAAATAGAAAGGGCACATTCTAGCAAATTTTAATATTAACACAGAAAGGGAGGGAATGCAAAAAAGACTAATGCGATCTTGCCTGGAAATATTTTTTTTAAAATTTTCTTCTTTTCACCAGTTTTTTTTTTTTGTTCTTTTCTTTTGGCAAATATCGCTTACTAGTAGTAATATTACAATAACTCTTGCTTTAAACAAAATTAAACTAACAAATCCAAGATCTTAAAAACCTTGATGTCATTAAACCAATTTTCTTTAAACAAAAAGAATATCCACAATTCTTATGCTTGGGAATATAAGGACAATATAATTAAATATAGGAAGAAACAAAAAAAGAGTGCATGAGATTACCTCGATTGGGCTAATTATACCACACACTGAGTCACCACCATCCGATGGAGCGGGATCAACAATCAACCTTCAATCTCAACCGGGAAAGTAATTTTAGGTCAAGCGACACCAATGGAACATGAACTCTTTTAATCACAAACTCAAGCACTAGGTGAATTCCCTTAGCAACTTAGTCTGAGAAATTTTTGCTACAACCTAAAACCCTTAGCCATAAATCCATAGATGAGGGATGGGATAGAGAAGAACCTATAGCCTAAACCTTAAACCCCTTTTTCACAATATGGGAGAGAGAGATCAAAGATGAGAGAGTGGGGTGTGCCCTCTTTGGGCTTTCATGAGAGATAGATAATTTCTTAGGAGAGAGAGAGAAAGATGAGGTATAGAGATTTTGGGTAGAGGCAATCCATTTTTATAGGTTTTGATCAAGATTAGGGTTTTTTAGGGTTTTCTTTGGCTTACCTCTCATGTGAGATTGAATATGAACTATTGATCATGGGTGACTGGTGGGGTGAGAGATTTGAGCCCTCCATTCTATAGATAGGCCATCAACATTATAGATGATGCTAGAACTTTATCCCTATTTCCTAAACCATTTTTTCATCAATAGAAATTAAATACAATAATTTCAAATATAATATTGAGTATACCAAAATAATATACAAGCCTTCTCATGGTTTCCAAAAATTCATTCAAAGCTTTCTCAAACCAATACCTTTCCAAAAGACATAGCAACTTAGCCTACAAGTCAAAATCACTTATCACAAAAATAGAAACCTTTAAAAGGGTGGGGCGTGCCATGCATGAGAGGATCTTATGGGCCCCACCATCTAGGTCATGGTGGGCCCATGTGCATAATAGGCCCCCATGTAATTTTAGATATTTTTAAAACTCAATAAATAATTTTAGAATTTATTTGAATATTTAAATCAATATATATCGATATATCTGATTTTATAAATCCAAACTTGATAAATAAAATATCCAGATATCTAGAAAAATTCAAATAATAATTTAAAATCATATATATATTATAAAACAAACATAATTAAATTCATTAGATAGGAAAATGATCCATATGGTCTAGGAATTAAATCAATCAAGCACTGGGGCACTTCACCTTCAACTGTGGACTATGGACCACACTTGCTTTATCAAACTAACCTAGTATTTTCTATGACCCAGAGTCTATGTAGGGGCTCATTAGTGGGTCACCAAAGTCTGGCCGATGAGCTAAAGGGTTGCAATCCTAGTATGTGAATTTCAGGTTCTCCTCTAGAGACGGGCCAATGTCATTTAGGCTTGATACGACCACAGCTCCTATGGCGCACAGGGGTATCTCTCGCACATCTATACGCTTCACCTTGAAAGGTGGCTTACTTTCTCGAAACAGTCTATCAATATGCATATCGTGTGATGGTACATGGATGAGGCTTTGGCCCCCCTTCTCTGAAGGTCACCATCATACATAAAGGTCACATAGTCCCTCAGCTCACTCATCCGGGCATACTTCAACCTCATCAAGAGATGATCTATTACAACCCTTATCGATTTATACTCTATACCCAGGTAACATGGGTTTTCCTCAACCGACTGGCTTAGACTGTCAAGCACAGTCTGGTGTCAGCAAACATCATTTGCTTAGTATGGTCTACGAGGGACCACATTCCCACTAAGTTCATGTTCCAGTATATCATTTCATTTTACAAGCACTCATAAGGCATTTAATGGCCACACTCACCCAACAGTAAAAAACCTGCATATTAAATAAAAAAGCAACCAGATAGTATTAAAAAAGTTAACTATAAAAAATCAATTCAACAATATTAAAAAATAAAAAATAAAAAAAACCAATTCAAACTTCAAGAAAAAGCCATGACAAAGATTTTAAGCATTAGTAATGAATGAAATTCAAGAGCACTACAATTTTAAAATTTTAAAATATAAAAGAATATAAAATTTGATTTAAAAATTCAACGTTTAAAAATATTAATTCTATAAATATATAGGAAATTGAAAAACATATATGGTAAAATTTCAACAATAAAAAGATAAAAAATAACTTTGATCACAATCTAGCATTAATACTAATTTAATCCATATATCAAAGAGAAATTTTTAAAAAACAATGTTAAATAATTATTGCAAAAATGAAAATAACTAAAAGAGATAGAAAGCGCACCTTGTAATCAACTTTTATATTATTACCATAAGGGAATGAAAGACCTACATATTCCATCAAGAACCAACCGGAGAGCACAAAAAACTACAAACAAATCATTTCAGTAACATTTAAACACATAAAAATAAAACATTAATTCAAACTCCAAGAAAAAAAATTTGGTAGAAATTTTTAATATGAAACGCAATAAAATCAACATTGTAGTGAAAATATATGGAGACAAACTTACTAAAAGCAAGGAAACGATTTTATATATTAACCCACTTATGGGTTGAATCTCGCCTCATTGGGAAGATGAGCATGTTTTTTTTTTACCAATGTTAAAAGCTTTTAGTGATAAAGCTTACCCAAACAGGATTACATCATCCGAAATAATAAGAGCCGGTGTTGAAGAGTCATACTTAGCCAAAGAGTCTGCTAAGGAATTAGCCTCCTTAAAAATGTGGCTAAACGAAATCGACAACACCTCGACGAGATCGACAATTTGAAACCAAATGGAAGCTAATTTACAGGGGACCTGCAGCTCCTTCTTGCACTATTGGATCGCATTCAGGGAGTCTCCCTCCACCAGGCAGTATCCACCCAAGTTTCTACTTTTCCAGATTTTTAGGCCCTGTAGAAGAGCAAGCATCTTAGCTTGATTTGCGGAAACTACCCAAAATAGTCCAGCAAAGGTAAACAAGACATTCCCACACCAATCTCGACCAACAACCCCAACACCTATAGGCCTCGGATTCCCTTGAGAACTACCATCAAAGTTTAGTTTGAAAGTACTCGGCATAAGATGAGCCTAGAAACAAGTAGGTCAACTTCTCACCAACCCATAGACATAAGATTATGAAGGTTCGTCCTGACATCTCTCTCAATGATACCTCTACTTTCCTTATAAACGACATGAAGCAACCACAATGAGTACATGATTTTCCCCATTACTCTCTTAAACGGAGACTATCCCCCTCAAAAGTACATATGTTCATCTCTTTCCATATTTCCCATATGATTACACCTCTGAAAATCTTCCAAATCACCTTGCCCACTTTAGGTAAGTAAGGCATAGACAATCCAAGAAATCATCTCTAAAACATCTTGAGGCATAGTCAATTGAAATCTTAAGAGAGAAAAAAAATACCCCCATATCCTTGCAGCAAAAAGACAGTGAGGAAGCAAATGGGCAACATATTCCGCATCATCCTTACATAATAAGCATACATTAGGCATGAAATTACCTCTCTTAACCAAATTGTCAATAGTAAGGATTTTATTTTGAGAGGCTAACCATATGAAAAATTGGATTTTGTGAGGAATGGACATTTCCATAATTTAGCCACTTGAGGTAGGGACCAACGCCACCTATTATGGAATAATAGTTGGTAACACGACTTAATTGAAAATATTCCATTGGGCTCCATATCTCAAATAATAGCATCTTCCATATTTGACGGGATATAAACCTTATCCAGAGCTTCTAAAAGAGACCGAAACCAGTAAAAAATAACCCCACTAATTCCATTGTATGAAAGAGTAACATTCCATACTACATTCTCACCTTGCCCCTCTAAAATGTCGACCACCTTAGCATGTTGATCAACAACCCTTTGGAAAACTTCTGGATAACTCAACTTTAAAGGGTACTCATCCAACCACTTATGATGCCGAAATGATATATACTCCCCGTTGCCAACAATCCATTTAAGATTTCTAGATATAAAAGGTCTATAATAAGCAATAGCTTTCTATACACTAGAAGCACTTGAGCCTCTTCCATTACCAATCCACATCCCATGTCGATCCAAATCATACTTCACCTTCAAAATTTTATACCATAGATGGCCCTAAAGGTAGAATTGCACCACCACCACTTGCATAACAGAGATTGGTTGACTAGCTTTAACTTTCTCAACCCCAAACCTCCTTCACTCTTTGATGTGCAAACCCTGTCCCACTTTAGCAAATGAAATTTTCTACCCTTCTCCAGAGGAGCCCCAAAAGAAATCTTGCGTCATCTTTTCTAATTTTTTTTGCTACAAAGGTAAGGATTTGACATATCGACATTTGGTAAATTGGAAGATTTGACAAACAAGCTTGGAAAAGGGTGACTCTGCCACCGGAGGAAAGGTACTTGAATTTCCCTAAATCCAACTTGACTTGGACTTGTTGAACCACTCTATCCCAAGCCAATATGGGAAGACTCCTATCCTAGATAGGCAATCCTAAGTAAATAATTGGTGAAAGATTCCATCCTGCAATTAAAAACCACTACCAAATCCGAGAGGACATCCCCATCACAATTAATACCAATCATCGACATCTTCCCCAACTTGACCTTGAGACCCAAAGTTGCCTCGCAACACATAAAAATGTAGCAATATTCTGCACTTGTTCAACCTTAGCCCCACGGAAGATGAGAGTGTCATCAGTATATTGAAGATGCGAGAAATTAAGACCATTATTAGCAATCTCAAAGCCCGATAAATTACCTCTATCTACGACATTCTTGATCATAAGGTTGAAGCACTCTGCATATAAAGTAAACAAAAAAGGCGACAAGGGGTCACCATGCCTTAACCCCCTCGAAGCTTTAAAGAATTTTGTTGGCCTGCCCTTATAAAGCTCTGAGAAGTGAGCTGAAGATAAACGATCAAAAATCCAATTGCACCATCTAACCCTGAAGCCCATTCTTCTCATTATCTCCATGAGAACACTCCAAATCACTATGTCATAAGCCATTTCCATGTCTAGTTTGAGAACAACCCCAGGAACCTGATTTAAGCTTCTAGAGTGAACGCACTCCTGCGCCATCAGAGTACTATCCATAATAAGTCTATCCTAGATAAAGGCGGATTGCTGCCTAGAGATAACCTATGGCAACACCACCTTGAGCCTCTCAGCCAATATCTATGCCACAATTTTGTATAAACTTGTTAGCAAGCTAATTGGTCTAATATCCGTTAATTCTGCAATAATGCTCCTCTTAGGAATAAGAGTAATATATGTCGAATTCACTCCTTTAAACAACTCAGCACGAATAAAAAAAAACCCTAACCATCTTAAGAAGCTCCCTTCTATAATTTTTAAAACAAGAGAAGGGGAAACTCATCCAGACCAGGATCGTTATCGCCTGGCAAAGCAAAAAATGCTTTTTTAAGTTCCTCCATCATCACTTCTCTCTCCAACTCAGAAGAAGATGAAATAGATAGGGAAGAAAAAGGAACACGATCAAGCTTTAGTGTAAATCTCACTTTTGAAGAAATGGCTTTCTTGAAGTGAGATACCACTGCTTCTCTCATAGCCACTCCATCATCCGCCCATTGTATAAACAACCTTGAATTATCATTTTGCCTCCTTCACGAACTAGCAATGGCATGGAAAATTTTAGTGTTTCTATCTCCCTCCTTGAGCCATTTAGTTCTAGATCTTTGTCTCTACTATATCTCCTCAATCCTGCACAACTAATTGAGAGACATGATCTTATTAGCTCTCTCTGACTTCATATCCTCTGACAGGACCCCAATCAATCTTAGCTTGAACCTGAAATCTATTTTCCTTCTTCCAGACAATGAGCTTGTGTTTAATACTAATTAATTTCTTATTCAACTAGAAATCTAAAGAACCCACCTATGTACAATTTTCCCAAATGCTCCTAATAATGGCATTCACTTCTTTATCTTCCACCCACCCGATCTCCATACGGAATGGCTTCAAACCAATATTTATAGCCTTGCAAGAGCGCAAGATTGGAGTGTGATCCGAAGACAGCCGAGGAAGGGCTAGAACTAAGGCTAAAGGGAAGGCTTCCAACCACTCCCTAGACACTAAGAATTTATCAATCTTTGACATTCAGAGGGTAGACGTGCAATTATCCGATCAAGTATAGATGGTATCAACAATAGGTAAATCAACCAAGGAGTGACTCTCAATAAAACTATTGAACATATGCATAGCCCCATTCAAAGAGGTCTCAGAAGATGAGTCTTCTCGCCAACGAATAAAATTAAAATCCCTAGGAAAAAGAAAGTCATTCAAATGTGAGATAGATCATTAAAGCAGGTGAGTTAGGTCCATAGCAATTTACCATACCCCAAGAAAAGTCCAAAAAGTGACTACAAAAGCCAACTAACAAAAACATGTCCCGAACAATGGAACATAAACATTGTAAAACCTGGGGTCCCACAGAATCCAAAATCCCCTGAAGCACCAATAGAGTCAATCCCCAAAAAGTCAACTGCTTCAAAACCCCAAACTTCCCTGACCCCAGAAACAGTAGAGGTCGGCAGTCTGGTCTTCAGCAGAACCAAAACTAAAGGCTTAAATTTTGACAACCAAAACAAGGACATCCCTTTTACATCGGGACCGTCAACACAAGGTCCAATGCAGTGTTTTAAAAATCGATGACCCGATCCGGAATTGGGCCATCCGAATTGGGTATTGTTCAGCCCGTTCTAGATCTAGCCATAAAACGAGATTCAACTGTTTTTCTCACTTGATGACATCACATGACGTCACGGATCAAATGTGTCACTAATTATGACATCTTAAAACGATTAGTATCGGCACATAACATGACAAGATCAGACGTGTCACCGATAATGATGTCATGAATGGTTAATATCACCACCCACCCACCATCAAGCTCAACATTTTTTTAATATCACCACGTGACGTCACAACGGCTCATCAGATCACCTACCCACCAGTGACTGTTCGTTTTCAAAGCGCACGCTCAATGGCTTTTATATTACTCATTCAAGCTTATCATCTTCGATGTGGGACTGTTCTGCATTTATTTGAAAACTAACATACTAACATATTAAAGCGCATAACGCATGACATAAGTGGTAAAAAAGAGTGCATGTACCTGCAGGATCACAATGTACATTTAATCCCTTATGTGAAAAAGCTTACTTATGGAGTATTTTTTAAATCTTAAATATTTTCTTTTTGAACAATAAAAAGGATCTAAAATATTGTGTTCCACTTTACAATCTATCAATATTTATAAAAATAAAAAATAAAGAAAAAAGGATTTTGAGTTCTAAGCACTTAGTGATTTTTTATATTTTTTATTAGGGTCATACCTTGCTTTTTGAATCATGTTTATTATAATATAGTAATTAATAATTATACTAATTACAATAATAATCAAATCTTATATTTTATTTATTAATTTATTTACATTATAAATTATTCAATGTATTATTTTTTGTTATAGTTGTAAATTAGATTTTTTAAATTAAATGATATTAATAGACAAATTTCAAAATCTATTCTCATTTGTATAGTAAAATGATGATAAACTAATAAAATACAAACCAATAATTCTAATTTCAATGTATAATATTGTATTTAGTTAGGTTTTAATAAATGTTTCATGATCTTCATACAAGGAAAGAACACCTCAATATTCACATATTGATGCAAAAAATAAAAGTTATTAATGTAGTACCCTCATTTCTTATTGGATTACTAAAAAACAACATTTATAATGATTTTTAATTTTTTTTTTGAATAGTTTTTAAGGCTGAATCTAATCGATTCGGCCGATTCTCGGTCTGAAACGTCGATTCACTTAACCATATGGGTTTTGGGGGTGCCCGATCTGGGGCACCGATCTCCTTTTTAAACCACTGGTCCAAAGTAAGCCTCCTCAAGAATTAGAGCTTCCTCCAGTGCCGCATCCTCATCTTCAGAATGAGTGACATCAGAAGATGATGGCTCCTTGCTAAGATCCAACATATCCGGCTCCACCATCCTGATAGCTTGAGAAAAGGCATCATCTATGGTACCAAATCTTGCTGCAATACGAGCAAAAGATCTGGACGACTTAACGCCTTCTTTCTTCTTCTTTGCAATCTCTATCTTTTTGACAGGGGTTTGCTTCATTTTGGCCTTATTCTATTTATTCTAGGCCTCCTCCAAGGCTAACTTAGCTCTTTTTTCTCTCTTCTTAACTTTCATCTCCTCCAGAACTACCCCAATTGGAACTTCAAAAGCAGCTCCCATATCTCCAAACATTGTCGTTACTCTTCCACTGTCTAACCCCACATCCTCAGGTTCCACATTCCTTTTCTCTCTCTCAGGGTTTTCCTGAGCAGCAGCACCTCCCTTGTTCTCTGATGGCTCAACGATCACATAATCATCACTCTCATACATTGAGAAGTACAAGAGGAGTAAGGTAGACTGCATGAGCTGAGCCACCGAAGTAATGGGTTCCCCGACCTCACCCTCCACCATTGCTGAGTTTGGATCAAAGAGCCCCTCTCCAATATCATGCAAATGTTCCAACTGATCTTGATTCATCTGCAACTGCAATGGTTCATCCTCTTTGATAGGGTCGATGACCACGAGGGCTAACAGATCCACTAAAAGGGGGTCAAAACGAGGTCGAGGGCAACTGGCCAAACCCCTGATAACAGTACCTCTACCCGGTAAAGGATACATCTTAAAGCGTCACCAAACACATCAAAAGTGCCCACCAAACCTTTCCCCGGCCACATCGTGATACCCAACCTCTCCAAAAGAGAGAAGAAGCAGAGAGAGAAAGTTGAAAAGTCATGCTTCTTTCGCTTCTCAAAAGGAAGATATGGGGCAGATTCACAAGGTTCAATGGCAGCCTGCATTTCTGCCACGTATGAGGAAATTGGGGCTTTTCAAGGGAAACTGTCATCATCACAATCATCCTTCCCCGTACGCCTGGGCTTGACTTTATCACCACTCCCAAAATTTGAAAGGGTAAGTGAGCTTGCCCGACCAATTCCAGTGTTGTGATCCTTCACCATGGTGGGAAAGTCAACTGATGCTTTGGAAGGATTGTCAATATTATTCAAAGGTCCATGAGGCCTTTTACAACAGATCCCCACACGTTCCTTTCCTAGAAGAAGGACTATCTTCCTTTGAAACCGTAGAGAAATTTGTAAACTCTATAACCATTTCTGAAAACTTGCCTACTGGGATCAACCTCTTACGGAGTTTTAAATTTTGAAAATTCTGAAACCGTCGGGGTTTCCTATTAAGCCTCTTCCTCTTCCTGTCAAAATTCAATTTTCTGGTGACAACTTTCTCAAGAAGATTGCTATTCGACAAAGGTTCAGGACGTTTCTGATAGGCGACTTGTTGCCATTTCGTGGCCACATTGGTTTTAACATTGTCCTTGGCCACGATGGTCTTTATAATAGCATCCTCCTTCTTTGGTGCCAAAGTTCTATCTTCGATATTAACTGAGATCATAAAGGATTGTTTACCCATCTGCAAGCACACTGAATTAAGAATATCAAGACCAGCAATCCTCCAAATCTTAACTCTAATTGAAGTCTGGTCCTTCCCTAAGAAGGAATCTCAGTCTACATCACAATGGTCACCACAACAATTAGCAATCTGTTGAATGATCCTCAAACTCTTGGCATGAAAGGGGATGCCATTAAAATTCACTCAAAGAATCTCTTTCTGAGCAAAAGATCCATGAACTTTGGGAGACCATAGATCCAAAGAGAACAATTTACCTCTCAGCCTATGAAATCTATTACTCAAAGCTCTTCTAACTATTAGAAAATCATAATACTGCAAAGAATTGTCTCTTTATTAATTGATTAAGAATTAATCAAGAATATCCAATTCCCCATATAAATATACGGCTACTAACAATTAAAGATAAATACCAACGGTTATAGATAATTATTAGTTAATCTTATCATAATCAAGATACACTTAATTAAGAGATATATACCCATAGACATAGATATCCATACTGATATGTATCCATAATGATGTATATTAATACTAACAAGATATCCATATGTTAACAC